AATAGCCATGACTTCTAGGTGCACTCACTCATGCGTGCACCCCCGAAAAAAAAACAAAATAAAGGTCAGTATTGTTTACTCAGACTGGCCACAGCTCTCCAGGGTCTTGGGTAGAGATCTTTCACATCACCTCATGCTTTAAACTGGAGATGAAGCCAAAAGGTGCAGTTGAGACGGACTTTCTGTGCAAATGGCATCGGCAACAGACAATTTACTAGGCACCTTTTAAAAAGTCAACTAAACCAGGTTTGGAACATGTGCCAAGCTCGCTCCTGTGCACTCAGCACCAAAGAACTGAGCAGTGCGGTACTAAGAGAGCTTTTTGATATTCATAAATGGCAGCTGTGCAAATACATACACAAATGGGAGTATGAGCAGACTGGAAAAGAAGCATTTTCATTTCCCGGAATGTACAGCAAGGTGAGTGAGCAAACTGGAAAAGAGGCCCCTTTCGTTTCCCGGTATCTACAGCAAGGTACAGAAATGAAAGTAAGGAAGCCAAGCGGCATGTGTTCTGTTCAGGAAGAACAAGGATGCAATTTTTAGCTTAGGAGGCACATAAGATGTTCCAAGGCCTTTTTATACATCCAGCAGATGTAGAGCAGCAGGGAGGGCCGTACCGCCTCTGCACAAATCCGGCAGCCCGACCCTGGACCGTCTTAAAGATGCAGCGGTTCCAAATGGGGATTTCGCATCGTTACCGACTCCCCCCACACAAGGCAGGCTTTCGCCCAAGAAGGAGGGCGCAGCCGACCGGCTTGATCTTGACATTCAATTTCTCAAGCGGGAACTGCCTGCTGATAGGCAAGATGTCAGGCGGCTTTGATTTGACACTCGGTTCCAGTGATGTGTATTAAGCTATTAGCTTTGCTTTAAAAAAAAAAAAGCCATCTCCTGGCTCCTCGAGAAGGAACGGTTTGCATTCTATTCATCTCTTCGCCAGTTATGAGTTTCACACGTGTCTAATATTATCTGGTTCTGCAACTGGTATTCACTCCACATTTTCTCAACACTGAGGGAACGGTGCAGCTCAAAACCACATTCAAACACCCTGGGCCAAGCCCTACTGACTGCAAAGTCACCCCTGAACGGCCATAAAACGGCCATAAATCTATGCAGAAGGCACTATAAAAACCCGATGATCAAAGAAAGCAGCATGCAATGCAGAGTGTACCATAAAATCCAATGATCAAAGAAAGTGAAAGCAGCACCCAATGCAGAGGGGTATTTCTGTTCCAAGGTGGGTTTGCTAAAACAATGGAGGGGAAAACCAATGCAGAATCGACCATTGTGTGTGAGACAGGAACAATTCCATAAACAAGGAGTTGTGCTTGTACAGTACAGTACAGTGTAGTGGTTAAGTGTGCGGACTCTAATCTGGGAGAACCGGGTTTGATTCCCCACTCCTCCACTTGCACCTGCTGATGAGACCTTGGGTCAGTCACAAGCTCTGGCACAGCTGTCCTTGAAAAAGAGCAGTTTGTGTCAGAGTTCTCTCAGCCCCACCCACCTCACAGGGTGTCTGTTGTGGGGAGGGGAAGGGAAAGGAGTTTGTGAGCCGCTCTGAGACTCCAAGTGAAGGGCGGGGTATAAATCCAATCTCTTCTTCTTCTTCTTCTTCTACCCTGGACTTCTGGGTGATCAAGGATTGGTGGTGGAAAGGGCCAAATCGCAGCTAATTTATGTCAGCCCCGTAGGGTTTTCAAGGTGAGAGATGGACAGAGGCGGTTTGCCATTTGCCTGCCTCTGTGTGGCAACCTCGGACTTCCTTGGTGGATCCCCATCCAAGTACTAACCAGGGTTGACCCTGTTTAGCTTCTGAGATCTTCTGAGACTGGGCTAGCCTGGGCCATCAAGGATTACCATACAACAGTACACCCCAGGTTAGCCAGACCTCATCAGATCTTGGAAGCTAAGCAGGATCAGCCCTCGATGGTGTCAGGTAGCCCTGTCACGGTGTTGGAATGTGAGGGGGGATCTCATCTCCCTCCCGTTCTCAGCGCTTCTCTGCTTAACGCTCTCGCTATCTGCGACTGGCCTTGAAGATGCTTCGCTTTGCTGTAATCCCGCAGGCCTGAGAACCGTTAACTGCTTTGGGCGCAAAATTGCTTGCTTACTGGCAGGGCCCGCGTGCCTGAGAAAACGTCATTGGCTTCGCAAGTGGGGGTGGCGGGGTCGTTTGAATATTCTATAAGTTAGGAGCCATCTTATTACAAGGCATTCTTAACACAAGCTGTTTAGTTTTAGTTTTGTGCAGGGCTTTTTTTGTAGAAAAAGCCCAGCAGGAACTCATTAGCATAATAGGCCAGACCCAACAGCAGGAACTCATTAGCATATTAGGCCACACCCATGGCAGCACAACTCATTAGCATATTAGGCCACACCCCTGTGTTACCAGAAGTGTGGTCATCCAGCCACACCCACCTTTTGCTTCTTATTCTGTTTACCTTGTCTTTTTTTGGAGCAGGAACTCCTTTGCATGTTAGGCCACACACCCCTAATGTAGCCAATCAAATGAGTTCCTGCTGTTGGGTGTGGCCTATTATGCTAATGAGTTCCTGCTGGGTGTGGCCAACTTGGGAGCCAGCCGGAACTCCGTTCCTGCCCCAAAATAGCCCTGATTCTGTGTTACCATAATAAAGCACCTATCTTCTGAAGAAGGCTGGGTGTGTGGATTACCTGCCTAAAGTTCCTGACAAACCCCAAAGAAGTCCAGGGTCGCTGTGTAGAGGCAGGCAACGGCAAAGCACCTCTGAACGTATCGTGGCTTGAAAGCCCTATGGGGTCGCCATCAGTCAGCTGCGACTTGACTGCACTTACCACTACCAATACACCCCTTCCCTGGTGATCTATGCTAGCCAAGTAGGAATACTAAGCTGGGGCAAAGCTTTTCTGCCTGGTGGGGGACTGCTGAGCCCCGGGAGGAGGGTCATAGCGATGCACGCGCATTTCCGTCTGAGCTGCTGCACCTTGTATCAAAGCCGTCACTTTTTTAAAAAAACAGAACCACCTGGCACGGATTTGCCATGGATACATGATCCTGTGTGAGAAGGCAACCCCACACACCAAAGCCCCTGCGGGACAAGGAATGATTCCGAGATCCCTGGATTAGTTGGAAGGAACTAGCAAAGAACATCGTGTGAGAACATGACCTCTTCCTCCCGGCTCCCCAAATGCAAACAGACTCATTTCAAACGCAGCCGCTCGGTGAGGTACGGATGTGGCTGGTGAATCCAAAGCGCGCACCCCAAACGCCCCTAAGCGGAAACTGAGCTGCCTGCCAGGATAGGGTGGGTGTGGGGAGTGTGTTGCGGATTTAGGGATCACAGTGCTGTGAAACGGAGGATTCTGCTTCTGAACGGAATGCTCCCTGACGCGGGGCCCAGGCCGCCAGGGGGGCTTTTACCTGTTCTGAGGAGACCACCCTCCCTGCCTAGGAAGAAGAAGAAGAAGAAGAAGGAGAGATTTGATTTATACCCCGCCCTTCAGTACTCAAAGGAGTCTCAGAGCGGCTTACACCCTCCTTTCCCTTCCCCTCCCCACAACAGACACCCTGTGAGATAGGTGGGGCTGAGAGAGCTCTGACAGAAACGGCTCTTTTTCAAGGACAGCTGTGCCAGAACTATGGCTCGCCCCAGGTCATCCAGCCAGGTGCATGTGGAGGAGTGGGGAATCAAACCCAGTTCTCCCAGATTAGAGTCCGCGCACTTGTCCACTACACCAGACTGGCTCTCTAGGTGCACTCCTAGCTGCGCTGGCCCAGCCTCAGCCGCTTCCGTAAATCAACAACCAACTGGTTGCCAAGATATCCCTACCCGGTTTTGTTAAAACAGATACGAGCCGCGACAGACACCAATCTGAGAGGAGAGTGTCTGTAGATAAGCATATGGAGCAGAGGTCCATCAGTGGCTATTAGCCACAAGGTATAGATAGGGACTCTGGGGCAAGTGATGCTCTGTCATCTTGGTGCTTGGGGGGGTCAACAGTGGGAGGGCTTCTAACGTCCTGGCCCCACTGGTGGACCTCCTGATGGCACTGGTATTTCTGGCCACTGTGTGATACAGAGCGTTGGACTGGATGGGCCTTTGGCCTGATCCAACATTGGCATCTCTTATGTTCTTATGAGAGCCGTCAGTTCTGCACCCCAGCAGTCGCACGCGAGGCTTAAAGAAAGAAGCATAGGAAATTCCCTTTCCTGTCTTTAGGAGTAATTTTCCAGAATCAGCCCAAGAAGAGCCCCACCGTCTTCTGCCCCAACAGGCCAGTGTGGTGAGGGGGGTTAAGAGCGTCAGTCAGACTAGGATCCGGGAGACCCAGGTTCGAGTCCCCACTCTGCCACGCAAAGTTGCTGGGTGTCCTTGGGCCAGCCACGCACTGTCAGCCTAACCTACCTCACAGGGCTGTTGTGAGGATAAAACAGAAGGGAAGAGAATGATATAAGCCGCTTCGGGTTCCCACTGGGGAGAGTGGCAGGGTGTAAATGAAGTGACTAGGTAAGCAGTGTGTGGAAGATTTCTGTTTCATTTCAAGCTCGGGGCCGGGTCTCTAAGGAAGGCAGCCAACAGCACTGGCCTGATCCAACTGGAAGCACAGGAGGCTGCTCGGCGCAGCAGGATTTGAAAAGCCACAAGCCTTGGGGGAGCCCAGTGGCCCTCCCCAGCCCAGCCCCTCGGCACAGACCCTTCCCCAGTAGCCTCCCGTCACTCCAGAGACGTGAACAGAGCCTTTCGCTCCACTCATTCATATACAGCAAGGGAAGTACCTGCAATCTGGGAAATCCATGGGGAAAGGAAAGAAATGACCCTTCCCCTTTGTTCCACTTGCTTCTGAGATAAGGCGTCTCCAACTGGGAAGGATTTTCAAAGCGGAGAGCAGAATTTTACTGGCCTCTCCCTCCTGAACACAGGAGCGATTCGTATTTGCCAAGGGCAGCGAAGACCCGCTTGTTCGCCACATCCCCGTTGCTCCCCAAATCCAGCCGCCTTTCGCTCACTGCTCACCTGCTCCCGGAATTGCTCTTGCGACAGGCAGTCAATCAAGTCCACGCAGCCCAGCAGGCAGCCGGAGGGATAATCTTTGGGAAATTCCAAATCTGCGGCAAGCGGGAGAGAAAATTATTAGGCAAGCGCTGGCACATGACCCCGGGGCCCTGCCGTTCTCCGCATGGTCTTGATTAGCCTTCCGTTGCCTCCCACGTGCTCTCGCCACAGGCCCTTTCGATTGTTCCCGTCGTGGCTCTGAACGAAAACACACACTGGCTCGGGAAAGAATTGCCCAATACCAGTTACGCTCTCCCACACACACCCTCCCATCTCACTCCCGCAGCCTGGACTGCCAATTCTGCTGCATGAGCCGAGCCCTTTCATTAACGGACCTCCAACTTGTGCTGGTTCGGCCCAGGGTTAAGGGAACCGCTAAGCAAAAGATCAAGTACTACGTTCAGGCCACAGAGAAGGAATATTCAGAGTGTACCTTGCTACTCAGAGCACATTTTATGTGACCCAGACAGTGTGTTCAGACTAGTATTTACGGTAAGTCCTTGCGGGATTTCCCGTATTGGGTCAAAAATGAGACGAAAAGAAAAATTAAAAATCAGAAGGGAGGTAAGGCTTTAAAGACCGGACAGGATGGGGTACGGAAAGGCCTGAAGCAGTCCAGGTCTGTTGGAACATTTTTCCATGCATGTAAAAACTAAACCCTTGTATTTGCAGCATACACACAGCGTACAGATCTCAAGAACATAAGAACATAAGAGATGCCAATGTTGGATCAGGCCAAAGGCCCATCCAGTCCAACACTCTGTGTCACACAGTGGCCAGAAATACCAGGTGCATTCAGGAGGTCCACCAGGGGGGCCAGGACACTAGGAGCCCTCCCACTGTTGACCCCCCCCCCCAAGCACCAAGATGACAGAGCATCACTTGCCCCAGAGCCCCTATCTATACCTTGTGGCTAATAGCCACTGATGGACCTCTGCTCCATATGCTTATCTAATTCCCTTTTGAAGCCATCCATGCTTGTAGCCGCCACCACTTCCTGTGGCAGTGAATTCCAAGTGTTAATCACTCTTTGGGTGAAGAAGTACTTCCTTTTATCCGTTCTAACCCGACCGCTCAGCAATTTCATGGAGTGCCCACGAGTTCTTGTATTGTGAGAAAGGGAGAAAAGTACCTCTTTCTCTACCTGCTCTGTCCCATGCATAATTTCATACACCTCTATCATGTCTCCCCTCAGTCGTCGTTTCTCCAAGCTAAAGAGCCCAAAGCGCCTTAACCTTTCCTCATAGGGAAAGTGTTCCAACCCTTTTATCATTCGAGTTGCCCCGTTCCACACCAGACTCCACACTGTGATGAATTTACTGTGCAGAATTCATACTAGATCAAATGGCTACAGCTCAGTTCAGACCCCCAACCACAGTTTATCCTGACCCGGATAGCCCAGGCTAGCCCGATCTCGTCAGATCTTTGAAGCTAAGCAGGGTCGGCCCTGGCTAGTATTTGGATGGGAGATCTCCAAGGAATGGGGTCGGCACACGGGGATCGGCAATGGGGGATAAGTCTATCAATGGCTACTAGCCATGGTGACTGAGGGAAAGCGACATATTCAGAGGTGCGGCCGAGCAGGAGGGGAGGGAGAGGTGTGGCCTCACCGGGTTTTCTTGCTTCCGCAGTCAGATTCTCGAACTTTGAGAAGCCAGCTGAGGAAGCAGGAAGACCCAACGAGGCCGCCCTCTGCCTCCCCTCCTGCAAGGGCTGAGCATATTTGTGGGGGCATGGCCCTCATAGGCCGCCACGCGGCAACCGGCCTGCAGATCACCAAAAAGCCCAAGAGCATACAGCTTCACTCTGCTGAGAGCGGATATGCCGATAAATAACGCATGAAGTTTCTGCGTCCCACACAACTGGCTGTTGCGAGTCCTTTGTTCATAAGTCGCACACACACGAGGTCTCGCGACAAGGCATAAATATACACCAGGAACACCCCCTGTGCTACTGTTTTAACGCTATGGGAAAAATCCATGCACGGTTTGCACTCCGACTACTGGAAACCCCTCGCCTCTGTCATTTCCCTTTCTGTAAAGCATCTCTAAGGAGCTGCGGTGGCTCAAGTGGTTAAGATGCTGAACTGGAGGCTGTGGAAAGTCAGTTAGAGACCCGAGTTGCCGCATGACGGAGTGAGCTCCTGTCTGTAGTTCCAGCTCCTGCCAACTTAGCAGTTCGAAAGCAAGACATTGCAGTGTTCCATGCGCCTTGGTGTTTAGTCATGCCAGCCACAGGACCACGGAAACGTCCTCGGACAGCGCTGGCTCTTCGGCTTTGAAACAGAGATGAGCACCGCAACCCTAGAGTCGGATTCGACTGGCTTTCGAGCAAGGGAACCTTTACCTTTTAAAGCATCTCTAAGAAGCCCTTTGGCTCCACAAAAATCATTGCTTGCCCTTCCCTTCGCATACTGGTTATCCCAGCCCTGAACCAGCCTTCCTATCTACCTTACCTAAAAGACTTCGTTTCCCTTTTCAAAAGAGCTATATTTGATTCTGTACTGAGTTAGAGGGTGCAGACCCCTGCCCCCACTGGACATCAGCAGGACGGGTGGGGAAATCTCTCTTGACTGTGAGCCCCTAAGCAACGGGGGAAGGGCAAGCCGCCTGCTCGGATACCAAGACAGGATCAGAAGCCCATTCTCGGATGGGAAAGCCAGAGTAAGCTGGACCACTGGGATCACTTTGGACAGTTCTGTCAAGGAACCAGAGGAACGGAACTAACTATTCTGTGAGTGATGGCCCCCCCCCAAAAAAAATAATTGGTTATTTCTTTGGGGGGGGGTTTGGAAGATCTGCTGCTTTTAAATGTTTATAAAAGCATTTATGTAAGAGATTTATATAAATGGCCATGAGATTTATAGAAGATCCCTGCTGTATTGTGTTATTATTAATATTATTTCATCATCAACTCACAGCTGACTTATAGCACAACCCTGCAGGGTTTTCAAGGCAAGAGCATTCAGCGGTGGTTTCGCCATCCCCTGCCTCTGCACAGCAACCCTGGACTTCCTTTTTATTTATTATTTTATTTTATTTTCATCACATTTATACCCCGTTCTTCCCGCGAACGGGCTCAGGGTGGTCTCCCATCCAAGTACTAGTCAGGGTGAGTGTGTTACACAAGCGCTTCAAGACATCAACAAGCTATGGGTTTTCCACCAGCAAAATGGAACTTTCCTGCCTCCCCCCACCAATCTCCACAAACACTGCTCCTGGGGGGGGGGGTAGGGGACCCTGAGGAATGACACAACCAGTGTCTTGAGGGGGAATCGGTGGAAATTGACATTTTAGCCTGGATCGAACCCTATGGTTTTAACTTGATGCACGTCGCCACGGATGCTTTTTGTTTGGTAAAAAGATGGGATTTATAACTCCCCACCAGTCTTCCCTCTAAGCTGAGTTAGTGTGAGCTAGCTCACTGTTTTCTAGCCTCTGGCTCACACATTTTTGTCTTCGCTCAGGAAGGAGGGCTCCAGAGCAAACTAAATTTATGTAGCAGCCAAATCGCTCGCTCACAACTTTCATGCCAGCTGCTCACAAAGTAGAATTTTTGCTCACAGGGCTCTACAGCTTAGAGGGAGCATTGCTCCCCACCCCATGCCACAAAATTAATTAAAAACAAAGGATTTTGTTTTCAGTTCTTCAAAATTTTGGGATGCCTCTGGAAAAAAAGGGTTTGTTTCTAGCCCCCCCCCCCCGGTGTGGGCAGCTGTGAAACTGCTGTCTGGACAGTCAGACAGACCCACAATCTTCAGACAGCAGATCAGGGTAACAGCTGCAACAACCAAAACGCGCAGGTGACTTTTGTTTCCCAGGAATTCAGAAATTCCGTCCGACGGAGGTGTCCCAGCTTTGCTGATCTCCCTTGACAACAGCCTTCCAGGAGAAGCAAAGTCTTACGGAAGTGAAGCAGGGCACAGAGGAATGGAGAGCATGCCTGCCCCTCATTGTTCGGAGGTGGCAGTGGGGGAGAAACCCTTGAACTGAATTTTCACCATACTTCCTTGCAGGCCCTTGGCTACAGCGGGGTGTTCTGGGGCCCCGCCCCCTTAATTGAAAGCCCCGCCCCACCAATAGCCATGCCAGACACCTTATTTTTTGAGGAGAGACCCCTGCTGCTGGCAGCGGCCAGGATGAGAGCGCCATAGCTTGCCCTCTGGCTTCCCTATCCCTCCCACAGGGGAATTGGGGGGGGGCATCATGGGACCTGGGAAAAGACAGCTCAGAAGGGCAAGAAAGCTTAGAAGGGCACTCAAGAGTAGCCCCTTCAGTACATCTCCCACAATCCACCTTTCTGCTAGCCCAGTCCTGCTGCATACCACCTAGGTCAGGGTGAGTCTTTCAAAAGCATTCCCATGAGCTTTCGGGAAACAGGCATTCAGATTAACACAATCAACTGTAATTTAACTGCCCCCTTAAATATTTATAAGGAGCTGCGGTGGCTCAAGTGGTTAAGACACTGAACTGCAGACTGTGGAAGGTCGGTAGTTCAGCAGTTCGAGACCCAAGTGTGCCGCATGATGGAGTGAGCTCCCGTCTCTAGTTCCAGCTCCTGCCAACCTAGCAGTTTGAAAGCAAGAAATTGCAAGTAGATAAATAGGGACCACTTCGGTGGGAAGGTAACAGCGTTCCGTGCGCCTTGGTTTTTAGTCATGCCGGCCACATGACCACGGAAACGTCTTCGGACAGCGCTGGCTCTTCGGCTTGGAAATGGAGATGAGCACCGCAAGCCTAGAGTCGGATTCGACTGGCTTTCGAGGAAGGGAACCTTTACCTTTACCTTAAACATTTAAATCCACCCCCCGCAACACAAAAAACCCTGACTACTTCCTTGTGCGCTTATTCCTAACAGCCGCTCTTACTGTCTTGTGCAGTTCAGATGTTCAAGGTTAATAAGTTTTGTTTCATTTGTTTAATCGATTTATACCCCGCCCTCCCCACCGAAGCAGGCTCGGGGCAGCTGACGTAAAAATTAAAACCGATAAAAACAAAGTTGCAATCATTCCGAAAGAGCAGCCGCGCCGATCTATCGCAGTCGCACCCTGCGCTTCCTGCATTCTGTTCCCCTTCGACCCTGCTGCTTACTATTTCCTTTTGCTCCCGCAGAACCCTCATGCTTCTACAAGTCAGTCAAGCAAGGACCGCACTGGAAGCATCTGACGGAATGGGCTCCAGTCCACAAACTAGGACGGGTTTGCTGTTATTCTTCCCAGCGGCTGGTCTCTACAAGGTGGAGCCCAGAAAGGACTTTCATTCCCCCCCCCCACCACCACCACCAGCCTCTTCGCGAGTGTTTCCACTGGGGTAACGGGGCCTGCAGCCCAAAGGCATGAAGATCGTTTCACCTGGTTGAAGCAGGACTTTGTAGCTGACCTCCACTTCAGAGATCTCCTGAGGGGAAGGTCTTTTGGCGGTGGCCGCTATCCACAGCCGGCCTCTCAGCGCTGTGTACCAAGTCCTGCCCTCTACCCTAGAGAGAGAGAGAGAGAGAGAGAGAGAGAGAGAGAGACAGGAGGACAGGAGAGCATCAGGAACAAGTTCAGTCTCCAGGATCCTGCTCACAACTCAAGGTTCAAGAGAACATTTCAACTGCAGTCCTAGTGTCCAAGCTGTATGCTTCTGAAAAGTACCTTCATCATGGGAAGTGGCTTGCAGCCCACCCACTCCACTCCACGCCAAGGCTGAAGCCTTCCTGAAGCCAAAGGAACCGTCCTCCAACTTAAAGAGACTCCCTTGCCAACCCACTTAATTTGGAGGGAGGCTCTTTGGGCTGGAGGAAGGCCAGCGCAGAGCGGGTGGCGTACAGGCCAGCAGCATTAAAGAAGGTGGTGCTAAAAGCAGACTGGCAAGAACCGCCAAATTAATTAGACGACTGATTTAAGGTCCATAGTTTTTGAAGGGAGATACCCTTTCCGATTGCTTCATCTGCATCAACCGTGGCCGCGTTTCACTTTCCAGTTACTAAGAATGCCTGAAACAAACTTGATCGGTATTTTTAAAAAGTGGACCTTATCTAAATCCCCCCCCCCCCCCCCCCGCGGGCGCAGTCATTTTCTGTGCTGCGTCCTTCTCTCTTCTTCTTCTTCGAAGCAGGACTGACCCTGGCAAGTATCTGGATGGAAGACCTCCAGAGAAAACCAGGGCTGGGAGGCCACTTCTCTGAATGTCCTCCGTGCCCCAGTAGGAGTCGCCAGAAGTCGCCAGGACTTCCAGGCACGGGCACATACGCACACACGCACACAAAAATACAAAAAAGGGGGGAAAATGCTTGGGAAGAGCCGTGACCCCCGCGGCAGTCCTGGAGATGGTGATGGAGGAAGGCAGAGAGAAATAAACGTTTCATGTTTGCATTCCACTTTCCCCTTCCAGACGGTCTCAAAAGCATACGCCTGAGTCACTGTCCCACAACTGTGCGAGGGCACTTTGGCCACGGTGTGGCACGACTGCCAGTGGCCTTTGTGGCTGAGTGGCATTTTGAACTTAGACCTCCCTGGTCTGGGGCCACCGATCTCAAAAAAAAAAGAGGGCAGCCCCAGCTACAGGAGGACCTAATAGCGTTACCTCTCGATATTTTGATAGGATAAAGCAGGGGTTCAAGAAGTCCGACAATGCTCTACCTCTGCAGGTGCTGAATTCCTCCGTAGTCTCTGTTACTGCTAAGTCAACCCACTGCTGCGGATGGCCACTGTGCTTCTCTGTATGTTTCCAAATATCACAAACTAGGTCCCTTTAACCACGACACTCACAATTCTCTTACCTTTCTTGGTGTATAAAAATCTTGTAGACTGAATACTGGCTATGTGTGTGCCTGGCAAAGTGAGCAGAAGCCCACCAAAGCCGATACTACAACACATCTGTTAAAAGGCATACAGACAAAGACTCTTTTGGGTTTATAGCAGGACTAAAACAATCAGTCTTCTGACCCAAAGTCAGACATCTTGGAATACACATCCAGTAAAATACAGCAGGAGTCCAGCGGCACCTTCGAGAGGTACGAGCATTTATTGCAGCATGATACACAGCCGGTGTATTCCAAAACATTCTCCTTTCTGGCTAAGAATAGAGGAAAACAGCGACATCTAGTGCTCCACACAGGAGATTCTCTTTTCCAAGGTCTAGAAACCAGCAAACATTGGTCCAAATAAGCATTGGAAACAGATTATAATATTTGTCTGTGAAACAAGCTGTTGACTGGAGGCTGAGCCATTTTCTTGGGTAGGGCACACGGAATCTTCTGCCAGCAAAACAAGAGATTAAAGTTGCAAATGGGGACTGAGATATACCTTTTGGCCCCCTGAATTTTTGCTAGAGCATTTTAGCTGCAGTGCTTTAGCTGGTTATTTGTAAAAAGACTGTACATTGCCTTGAGTGCCATGTAAATGGAAAAGCATCTAAAATGTTGCATAAAATCAGCGGGACACAACACACATCCTTAGGCTTCCCCTGGCAGGTGACAAAATAATTATTTCGGGATGGGGGCGGGCTTCTAGAAGATCCACTGCTTTTAGATTTCTTGCAAGCCATTCCTTTGTCCATGCCATTTATGTAAGATACCTGCTGCACTGAGTGCGTTTATACATGTGTTTTAATACATCACCATGGGTCAGATCCAGGCATTTATGCATACATTTCCTGCGCAGCATGAGCCAACTGTATCTTTACACAGAACTGGAGGTGTAAAGTGCCATTAAGTCGCAGCCAGCTTACGGTAAGCCCGTGGGGTTTTCAAGGCAAGAGACTTTCAGAGGTGGTCTTGCCACTGCCTGCCTCTGCGTTGTGACCCCCGGACTTCCTTGGAGGTCTCCCATCCAAATACTAGCCAGGGCCGACCCTGCTTAGCTTCCGAGACCTAATGAGACTGAGCTAGCCTGGGCCATCCAGGTTAGGGCTATGCAGAACTAAAAGTAAAGGTAAAGGTCTCCCTTGCTCGAAAGCCAGTCGAATCTGACTCTAGGGTTGCGGTGCTCATCTCCGTTTCAAAGCCGAAGAGCCAGCGCTGTCCGAAGACGTTTCCGTGGTCATGTGGCCGGCATGACTAAACACCAAGGCGCACGGAACGCTGTTACCTTCCCACCGAAGTGGTACCTATTTATCTACTTGCAATGTCTTGCTTTTGAACTGCTAGGTTGGCAGGAGCTGGAACTAGAGACGGGAGCTCACTCCATCATGCGGCACTCGGGTCTCGAACTGCTGAACTACTGACCTTCCACAGCCTGCAGTTCAGTGTCTTAACCACTTGAGCCACCGCAGCTCCATTATGCAGAACTAGGTGGGAGGAATTCAGTCAGTTGGGTTCCTGGCAACTGAGGGCTCCACCGAGCGGAGAAGGAATGGAAGGACCCCTCTGGCACAGGCTCAGGGCTGCACAAGAGCGTAGGGCTCCTCCAAGCAGAGAAGGAATGGAAGGACCCCTTTGGCACAGGCTCAGGGCTGCACAAGAGCGTGTGGAGTGTTCTGTTTCTAGATCCCTGCTTACCGTTTGATCCCTTTGACCAGCAACGAGGCCCAAGGCTGATGCATGCTGAGGCACCAGCCACCGTCTGAGATCTCCTGTAACTCTCGGTCCTGAATCCGTAAGAGGCTCCTGTCTGAGTTGGCGTCGCTCTTGGCTTCCGCAGAAGGGCCAATTTTCCTGGGGGTGAGTAAGCCGGTCTGGTCCACCCACTTCAGCACATAAAAACAAAACAGAACAAAATTAAAAATCCAAAACGCGACACGCGCACACAAACAGAAGGCTTAATCCTCCTCTGTTCAACGAGAGTTGCCCCGATAGGTTCTGCGATGCTCCGGTTTTGTAGTTAGCGTGATTCTTTGGCTTGTAGGTGCTGGGTCACATCAGTTCAGTGACAGGCAAGGACAACAGAGAGTGGGAAAGCTCATGGGGGATGCCCTCAGGGCAGCCAATTAGCTTCTGCGAGAAGAGAAACAGACCCCGCGGCTGCCTTTGCTGAACGGGAGGCCAATTGTGAATCATCTCTGATCTCAGTCATGCGGTCCACTCTTAGATCATCCTCTCAGAAGAAGCAAAAGAGAGGCACGTCTAACAGGCTGAGGAGCAGGGGGGAAACAACTTGTTAGGACCCAATATCTCAACAGAAAGAGGGAATTGTGAGCGATGCTGAATGAGACGCACCAGGGAGAGTTTCATGGAGGTCAAAGGAATCCCCACCACCACCTAGATGACCGCCTGCTACTTTTGCTCAAGATTCCTTTTGATGCTTAACTGCGCAAGGAGCCTTGGCATTAATTGACATTGAAGGGTGAGGAGGTCTGGCTTACAGAGCTACACAGGATGCCCAGACTGCTAAGAAATCAAACAGAAACCAAATTAGAAGAGAGTCTTTCGTGCGCACGTAAAGCCAGGGCTGTAGAAATAAACAAAAAATGCAGCCCTGTTCTATCGTCCTCCAGCGGCGGTTGCTTCAAGGTGGAAACCACCTGCCAACTATACACGCCACCACTGATGTTTAATCTGTTGTGACTTCTACCGTACTTATGGTGTTGGTGGATCTGAGCTCCATTCCCTTAAACCAGTTTTTGTCGATGTCTTTTGTTAACATCTGCATCTCGAGTCTTTTTAGCCTGAGATGGTAACAGCCTTTCGCTATTTGCAATGAACTGCTACTGCAACCCAAGTCCTGAAACATGGGGCGGGTGCCACGTTGGAGAACAGCACTTTGAAGTGCCACACGTGGCTCCTGAGCCGCTGAACAAGCATCACTGATCTAGAGTCAGGATGTTTGATGCTGCCGAGTCAGACCACGGGTCCACTGAGAGCAGCCCTCCAAGGCCTCACACGGACATGTGGAGCTGCCTTATACCGAATCCAACCTTCAGTCTATCAAGGTCCGTATTGTCTACTCTGGCAGCTGCTCTCCAGGGTCTCAGGCAGAGGTCTTTCCTATCAAATACAGTACCTGATCCTTTCAACCGGAGAGCCCGGGGATTGAACCTGGGACCTTCTGCATGCCAAGCAGATGCTCTGCCACTGAGCCACGGCCCCTCCCCAAGAGAGATCCTCCTAACTGGGAATGCCAGGAAGTTAAGCTTCAGACTTTCTGTATGTTGATAACACGTTGGTAACACTTATTCCTTACAGACCTCAAGGCAGATAAAGCACATTAAATAAAACACATAAAAAGCATTAAAAAAAAAAGTTTAAGAGCACTACTCCGGATGCTCTCTGCCACTAAACTGATGCATCTTCCAGGAAGAAGAAGAAGAGAAGAAGAGATTGGATTTATACCCCGCCCTTCACTACCCAAAGGTGTCTCAGAGCGGCTTACAAACTCCCTTTCCCTTCCCCTCCCCGCAACAGACACCCTGTGAGGGAGGTGGGGCTGAGAGAGCTCTGACAGAAATTGCTCTTTCTCGAGGACACCTCTTATCAGAACTACGGCTTGCCCAAGGTCATCCAGCCAGGTGCAAGTGGAGGAGTGGGGAATCAAACCCAGTTCTCCCAGATTAGAATCCGCGCACTTAACCACTACACCACTACACCCAGGAGAGGTAAGTTCTGTAAAGAGGGAAGGAGGAGTACTGACCACAGGGGCTGGCTGGAGAAGGTTTGGATTCACGAGGACTCCAGGTTCGTTGTGTTTCCCTTCGATGCTTCGCATTGTGTTTGTCAAGGTGCCGCTCTGAAGAGCTTCAATCGTTTCATCCAATCTACGAGGACGAACAACAACTCGTTCCATATTCCCTGCAAACCATCCTCTTGACTTTCACCTGCCTGGGGTCCCCTCATCAGTACTAGCTATGATATATTCATGGACGCGATCTGCTTGTGAATGGTACCAATGCAGCATCTTCACTCTGATGCCAGTAAAATGGATGATCTTTCCCAGACAGTCTGAAGACCTCCTGGCCACGAATGCAGGTCAGGACAATTGTTGCTTTAGCTGGCTTCTATAGCCAAAAGTTTAGAAGCCAGGCTCATGCCTTAGTATTCAGGATTACGTATAAGACCATATTTTCTATTTTCTTCTACCACAAAAAAAAAATGGCTAGCTGCAACATGACATTTCTAGGCGTCACGGTGACTGGGATTTGTCAAGGCCTGCATTAATGCCTGAGCAGGGTAAGACATACTATTGTGTTGAATGCCCCCCCCCAAAAAAAAAACCCACGTAAAACTCTTAGGGTCCAATGCTAGCAGTTAAGAAGAAACCAGGACAAGTAGAGGACCTGGAAATTTTACGCAACCAAACACATACCCAGACTGACTAGAACAGTGGTGGCGAACCTATGGCACGGGTGCCAGAGGTGGCACTCAGAGCCCTCTCTTTGGGCACGTGTGCCATCGCCCCAGCCAGGCCCAGACCATCATTAAAGTGTTGAATTCTCTGCCAAATAATTTTAAGTCAATGAAAGCATTTGGGATTGCTTTCCTTACTTTGTTTGGATCATCTTAAGTTAATGTATGAGTTGTTTTTTCCTAAAGTAAAACCTCAGTATTCAGGTTAAATTGCCGTGTTGGCACTTTGCGATAAATAAGTGGGTTTTGGGTCGCAGTTTGGGCACTCGGTCTCTAAAAGGTTCGCCATCACTGTGGACTAGAGCATCCCAACAGGAAGAGTTAAGTCAGAACAAAGTCAGAATACGTGAAAATAAGCATACCTAACCTGTCGTCAGCCATGGAAGCGACATGGTCTTGGGATAGCGTGCCCTGATTCCCCTAAGTTGGGACCAGAAAGGGGTTGTCTACACTGCATGATGCTTTAGAGCTCTGCCAGGGTATCTTATTCATTGGTAGTGGAGACCGAATGCAGGACCAGAAGGATCTTGGCCTGACCCAGG